GGGGATAGAGAGCAAAAACAGGAGGGAGTGGAGGCACAAATGGAGTTGACACGATGAGGGCTCATGGGAGAATTGGAACTTGGGACAGACACAGAGGTTGGGGAAGACACGGAGCAAATTCAGAGGGGAGGGTGGGTGGAGACCGACAGAAAAAGACAGAACGTGTCAGGAAGCTGAAGTTTTCATCGGGACATTCGCAAGAACAGCAAATTTTAAACGGCCCAACAATTTGTACGCAAAAGAAGCAGATTGGTTCGTGAGCAGATGGATCACCATGGAGAAACAACACCTCGAGTGAGAATGAAAGGAGGGCAGAGGTTGGTATGGCAGGAGGAGGTTCCGCAGATTGAGGCATGAACAAGGTCCTAGTGGGTTTTGTAAACAAGGATGAAATGTTTTACATCAAAATGTGGCTCAGTCAAGAGCTAGAGTGGGTCAGTGTCAGAGGAACGGGACTTTGTGCGAGTTAAGCGTGGAGTGTGTTAGATGACCTTAAGTTTATGGAGAGTAGAATGTGGGAGACCGGCCAGGACTGCGTTGAAGAGTATTATACTGCCTACAAGTAACAAAGGTGGGGTGAGAGTTTCAGCAACAGACAGGGGTCTACTTTTGTTACTTTGATACGTAGCGAATGAAAATTGGCATCACAACTCCATTCCAGAAACAGTTCTCAATCCCTACTTTCTCCCTTAAAATTCTGATTTCATTTTTCCCAGGAATTGTCCAGGAACTTAGAGTCCTTTTGCATTCTGCATGGCCTCAGCCAGAGTTGATTCACCAACCAGTCAGCACCCTTTCCTCCTATAGCATTAACCGTTGTGAGTATTTAAAGTTTGGCATTCTTGCACAGGTCCTGATTCAGTACAGGAGGAAAATCTTTAGCAACACGTTTCTCTCTTCAACAAGATTCAAGGTTTGTACCATCAAGATAGAGTAAAGCTCCTTCTGGACTCTCTCTGTCATGTATTGCACTGAGCAAGAACTCTTAACTCCAGGCAACCATTACTGAACCAACTTTAATAGGACCTTTTCCAACTGAAATCATCAGTTCTCCAATTGAGCACAATGTCTGTCACTTACTCACCAGGCAGGAACAGTGGGTTTAACAGAGCATAAAGTTCTCTCTACCTCAGCCGGAAGATAAGACAAAACGTAGTAGGGGGCATGTCTCATCTTTTATCCACGGTAAGAGATTGTAGCTTCAAAAGCAGTGTTTGCATTCTCCCAGCCTCTAAACCTCAAAACAGCTAGTGCTGAGAATCTGGTGCAGAGAGCCAGATATGCAACTGAGCCGGAGAGCAAACAAAAAAAAAAAAAAAAAAATTCTGCTTTGCAAAACTACTTGAAAGATCCCACATACCAATAAAATCGAGTGCATATTGTGGTCCACATTCTTCACCATTGATCAGGAGATAGTCAACATGCCCAATGAGGCAGCTTTTGAAAAAGATGCCACTGGTTGTGTTAGTGTGCTGGCTGACATGATTTCTCGGCAAGAGATGCCAACATTTGAAAAAAATAAGAGGTGATCAGATGCAATCCATCTGGATTTTGAACATCCCTGTGGATTGAGGGTGGAAAAGGCTGGGGTAGGGAATGAATCAGCTTTGGGCAATTTCGGAGGGAGAATCCACAGATACCAACAAATCTGCTCGAGTATTTCCAGCACTTTCCGTTTTTATATCATTTCAGATTTCACACATGGGGTTTTGGTTTCAAACCAGATCGAAGGTGTAAGAGCATAAATATCCCTCAGAGTTATAGGCTTTGGGGAGGCGATGGCCTAGTGGTATTATCACTGGACTATTAATCCAGAGACCCTGCTAACATTACGGAGATCCGGGTTTGAATCCAGTCACAGCAAATGGTGGAATTTGGATTTTTAAAAAAATCTGGAATAAAGAGTCGAATGATGACGATGAACCCATTGTCGATTTTCAGAAAAAACCCATCTGGTTCACTAATGGCCTTTAGGGAAGGAAACTGCCATCCTTACCTGGTCTGGCCTACATGTGACTCCAGACCCACAAATGTGGTTGACTCTTAATTGCCCTCTGGGCAGTTAGGCATGGGCAATAAATGCTGGCCTACGCATTGTTGCGTGCATCCCATGATTGAATAAAAAAAGTCTTAGAGTCATACAGCATGGAAACAGACCCTTCGGTCTAACCAGTCCATGCCGGCTATGATCCCAAACTTAACTATCTGCCTGCACTTGGTCCATATCCCTCCAAACACTTTTATTCGTGTACTTATCCAAAGGTCTTTTAAACATTATAAATTGTACTCTCTTCCTCAGGAAGTTTCATTCCACAAACAGAATCAGAGAAAAAATACTTGCATTTTACAAGGAGAATTTCAAGATTATAAAATGTCCAATAGCACTTAAGGGTCAATACATCACATTTTCAAGACTAAGTACTGTTGTAATTGCAGCCAGTTGTGCGCAGCAAGCTCCCACAAAGCAACAATGACAGGGAAAGGATTGGAAATGAGGGGACCCTCTTGGCATACGGCAAGGAGGGGAAAGAGAGAGAGAGAAGAAATGTCTTTTACCAGTCGAGACTAATAGCTTCCCCTCCCCACAAATTAACAACCACCCTGCAAACGGACAAGAATCCTGGAAAACCTACCAGATTGGTGGTGTCCTGCAGGAAAACAGTGAGGTTGTAATCTGTAGGGAGATGTGTCCTCTGTAAATAAAGAAATCAAAATGAGATTCAAAGACCATTTCTCCTTGCAAATATGTTTATGAATTTTGAAGAGTCGAGCTTCAATTGAAAGTTAAAAAGAAAATACTTTGACAACAGCAGGAAAGAGAAAAAGTGATCACCCATTGCATGCTGACATTTCAGTGTTTCATTTCTTCTTTAACAAAAGAACCATCAACTTCATTGGGCACCAGGTTTTCAAATTGATCAAGAACGACGTGGAACATTTGCATTTTAAGTCAAAAAAGTTACCTGGAGGAGGCTGTTCAGCCCTTCAAGCCTGGTCTGCCATTTAATTAGATCACAACAGACCCATATCCCAATTTCATTCTCCTATTTCTAATCCCTATCCCTGACCAAGACGACATTTGATGAGATGAGGGACATCTGGCTGAAGAGACATTTCATTCTTTTGTTGAAAAAATTATTTCCTGATTTCACTCCAATGAGACTGCCTATTATTGGACAATGTATGCACACTGACCTCTTTCGACTTATTTTTAGTAGAAGTAGAGAACAGAACTTATTCCGGCCTGCAAGCCAAACACAATGTCCTCTCACCAGCCCACATGAGAACACAAGAATAAAACATCGGACTGTGATTGCCAGAGATTTAAGAAAAAAACATAGAAAGTGCTGGACAAACTCAGTAGGTCTGCCACCATCTGTGGAGAGAGAAACAGAGGTAATGTTTAGAGTCCATAGCCAAAGTCTGTTCCCCAGGGCGCAGGGAATCCAAAAACTAGAGGGGCATAGGTTTAAGGTGAGAGGGGAAAGATTTAAAAGGGACCTGAGGGGCAACTTTTTCATGTAGAGGGTGGTGCGTGTATGGAATGAACTGTGGGCAAATGGGACTAGATTAATTTAGGATACCTGGTTGACATGGACAAGTTGGACTGAAGGATCTGTTCCTGTGTTGTACGACTCAATGACCATCACGTTTTACCCACAGATGCTGCCAGAGCTGCCGAGTTTCTCCAGCAATTTCAGTTTTCGTACGAGAACACAGGAGGTGACCGTTCAGCCCCTTTTAGCCAGGTCCATCATTCAACATGGCTGATTTCTATTGTCAACACCACATCCTTGCACCATCACCCAAGCACTTCCAGAACCAGATTACTGATCTGTCCAAAATACACCAATAGGCCGTTCCAAAGATTTACTGCCCGAGCGAAGGAACTTTTGCCTCGTCACAATCCTAAGTGGCCGAGAACTTATTCCGAATCTATGATCTCGTGCTCTAGACTCTCCAACACCTTATGCTGTCGGACCCCTAACTTCAGCGAAGGCAGTGGCTTCATTGTGAACCCGCCATTAAAAAGGCACCAACATAAGTTGGAAACTTTGATTCTCCCCCTTGGAGCTGGAATGGAGCCTCCCAGCTTCTTAAGGTGAAACATGAAATGGTTCGTCCAGTGGCGTGGCAAAGTTGAGTTGTCACCTCCCTGACTGGCAGTCACTTCAACCATGGGAGGCATCACCGTTCAGAGGACAGAAAAGACGACTCCAGCCAGGATCTCTAACTTAAATCCATTTCAACAAGAGAAGGACTGACAGCATATCCAATAGTGGTGGTGAACTTTGCAAAAAGATGAGACAACAAGGTGTTTTTTTCAGGGCTGGATGAACACAGCAGGCCAAGCAGCATCATAGGAGCAGAGAGGCTGACGTTTCGGGCCTAGACCCTTCATCAGAAAAGGGGGAGGGGAAGGGGGTTCTGAAATAAATAGGGAGAGAGTGGGAGGCGGATAGAAGATGGATAGAGGAGAGGAGATGCCCAGTTTAGGAGAAGGCCCCTGAGATTTACCAGGGGCTGCGATTCCGTGACCTGGGAATATTGGGACTATTTTCCATCGAATAAAGAAAGTGAATCAGGGAGATTTAATGGAGTTATTCTTGATTTAGGAAGGGATTTTGATTATACTGAACGAGGAGAAACTGTTTTCACTGCCAGGAGAATGTGTAACCACTGGATACAGATTTTAAGACAATTGGCAAAAAGAACAAAAGAGAGACAAAGGTATGGGTCTGCATTAAAAAGCAATTACATTTCCGACCTCTGCCAGATCTGACGGCACACTAATTCAATTTCTCTCTTTACAGATGTTGCCAGAACTGCTGAGGATTTTCTTCAGTAAGAGAATGAACACTGTGGATGCTGGAAATCAAAAATAAAAACAAATTGCTAGAGGAACTCAGCAGGTCTATTTGCATCTGCGGACAGAGAAAAACAGAGTTAGCTTTGAGTTCAATAAGACTCCTCTTCAGAACTCCAGCATTTTCTGGAGTGAGGAGAAAAAGGAGAATTTCGAAAATTCTTGTGATCGTTGCCCAAGGACAGATAGATTGGCAACTTGGGCACAGAAATGGCAGATGGAGTTTAATCCAGACAGATGCAAGGTGATGCATTTTGGAGGATCAAATTATATTGTAAATGGCAGAACCCTTAGGGACACTAACATTCAGATGGATCTGGGTGTGCAGGTCCACAGTCCCCTGAAAGTGGCAACACAGGTAGCTAAGGTAATTAAGAAGGCAGATGGCACGCTTGCCTTCATCGCCTGGGGCATGGAGTACAAGAATTGGCAAAACATGTTGCAGCTATATAAACCCTTGTTAGGCCAAATTTGGAGTATCGTGTGCAGTTTTGGTCACCACACCACCAGAAGGATGTGGAAGCTTTGGAGAGAGTGTACAGAGAAGGTTCACCAGGATGTTGCCTGGTCTCCAGGGCATTGACTACGAGGAAAGGTTAAAAGGACTAGGATTGTTTTCACTGGAAAGACTGGGGGGAACCTGATAGAGGTCTACAAAATTATGAGGTGCATAGATAGGGTGGTTAGTCAGAGGCTATTTTCCCTAGGGTTGAAGTTTCAATTACAAGGGGACACAGGTTCAAGATGAGAGGGGGAAGTTTAAGGGAGATGTGCGAGGGAAGCTTTTCACACAGAGAGTGGTAACAGCCTATGCGCTACCAGAAGAGGTGGTGGAAGCAGGCACATTTAAGAGGCACCTAGATGGTTACATGAATCGGGAATGAATAGAGGGATACGGGTCGAAAAATGGCAGGTTTGTTTTTTGATTAATTAGGGCATGATGGTCGGCACAGGCTTGGAGGACCGAAGGGCCTGTTCCTGTGCTGTACTTTTAAATTCATTCAAAACAGCGAGCAGAAACTGATTCAATTGAGATTATCAAGTAAGGGAACTGGATAAACATTTCAAAAAGGAAGGATTTGCAGGAGACCTGGGAGAGAACAAGAGTAGGCTACTCGGCCCTTCCAGCCTGCTCCCCCATTCAATGGGATCATGGCTGCTCCCTGATACTGTTTCATCTTCTCGGTCATCAAGAATCTATCTATCTCGGCCTTAAAGAGTCTACATCCACTGCCTTTTGAGGAAAGAAATTCCAAGACTCTCAGGCCTCAGAAGAAAAATATTTTGTCATCTCTGTTTTAAATGGGTACCCCCTTATTTTTAAAACTATGACCCCCTAGTTCTCGATTCCACCCCCCACCCCAAGAGGAAACATCCTTTCAACATCCACCCGGTCAAGTCCCCTCAGGATCTAACATGCTTCTGACTCTTCTAAACACCACAGGATACAGGACTAGCCTCATAAGGCAATTTGCTCGCTCCAGTTATTAATCTAGTAGAGAGAGAAGCAGGCATAAATGCACGGCTCTTGTGAAGAGCTATCACAGGCCCAATGGGTTGAATGGCCTCTTGGAGTGTTGAATAATTTGACAAACAAGTAAAAACCAAACCCCTTCCCAAGCCAAACTGGTGTTTGTGTGCACGTTCCCACCCTTCCCAACTCACCAGAGTCTCGATTACCGAACCGTACGTTGTAGTGTGGGGTTGGAATCCTTCAAACTGACAACCGAGAGAGTTTGCTGATAAAAATATAGCCAGGAAGAAAGCCACCTGAGAAATAACAATTTTTACATCAGATTTGTTATTTAAATAAAAAATAAAAAACAAGGGCATCAAGGAATTCCTCGTTTCTGTCCCTTTTGAAGAATAAAAGCTCATTTCCATCTCTGTCCTACTCTCCCATCATTACATTGCTCGAGAGGTGGGGAGAGAGGAGAAACGGAGATGGGACTACTGCTGAACACCAACATCCCCAAGCACATTCAATTCTACCCCTTCCCCAAATGCATGCTGTCCAAACAGATCTCCTCACAGTCAGTGGTTTGTCCAGGGAGATCTTTCTAGAAGTTTCACTACCCCCTCCCCATCCCATACCTTATGTAAACAATTCTTCATGGGAATGTGAAACCCAGTATGAAAGCCCACTCCTCTCCCCTCCCAAAGTAATATCAAACTTCACTCAATCCTTAACCAAACTCCTGTACCACCAACTGGCTGTAGAAAAATCAACTCATGGGAGCCTTGCTCAACTTTCTCCCAAATACAGTGAAACAAAGCCAGTTTGAAAACAAATGCATTTACGTAGCATTTTTCACAGCCACCAGAATTCTCATGCTGATTTTCAGCGAAGCATCTTCGAAATGTAGCCATTGTTATAATGCACGTAGGAATTAGGAGCAAAAGTAGGCCATTCAGCCCTTCTAGCCCACTCCGCCATTTAACATGATCATGGCTGATCTTATCCTGGTCTCAACTCCGCTTTCTTGCCTGTTCCTCATAGCCCCTTTATCCTGCTTTTCATCAGAAACATGCATATTTCTTTCTTGAATCTGTTGATTGATTCTGCCCCCACTGCACTCTGGACCGGTGAGTTCCACACATTCACAACCCACTGAGAGAAGCAGTTTCTCCTCATCTCAGTTTTGAACCTCCCTCCTCTCACTCCATATCCATGACCTCCAGTTCGAGACTCTCTCACAAGAGGGAACATCTGTTCAACATCTACCTTATCAATCCCCTTTAGCATTTTATATACCTCAAATCAGATCTCCCACCCACCCCCCTATCAATCTTCTGAACTGCAGCAAATACAAGCCCAAGCTATTCAAAGCGCTACTTGTATGACAGCCCTTTCATCCCCGGAATCAACCTGGTTAACCTCCTCTGAACTGCCACCAATGCCCCAAATCCTTTCTTAAAGAAAGAGTCTAAAACTGGACACAATATTCAGTTGCGATCTCACCAACACCTTATATAATTGTAACAACACTTCCTTACTTTCATAATCCAGTCCTTTTGCAATAAATGCCAGGATTCCATTTGCCTTTCTGATTATATGCTGCACCTGCATATCCACTTTTTGCAATTCATACACAAAGACGTTCAGATCCCTCCGCACTGATGCACCTCGAATATGCTTCCTATTTACATAATAATTCACCCTTTTGTTTCTCCAAAAAATGGATAACCTCGCACTTATCCGTGTTAAAATCTATCTCCCCGATTCTGGCCCATTCTCTGAGCCTATCAATATCCAACTGTAAACTCGATCGCCTCATCACTGCTTGCTTTCCCATCTGTTTTAGTATCATCTGTGAACTTTGCCATGTGAAAATATAATGTAGGAAATGAGGCAGCCAATGTATATGGTTAATTATCAATTTAGGGTAAATCCTTCCAACACGCAGCAAGAGCAGGCAGGATTCAAAAATAGAACCTAGAACAATAGCAGCAGAATTCAGCCATTCGGCCCATCAAGTCTGCTCCACCATTCAATCATGGCTGATGTGTTTCTCAACCCTATTCTCCTACCTTCTCCCTGGAAATCAAGGAATCTCTGCAATTCCTCGAGATTAGAGCCTCAACTGTGACTATCCATCGCTCCAGATGATAAAGGTAAAGATAAAGTGGCGAGACTCTCAGAGAACCATAGGGCAGCTGGTGGTTTAACCAGAGGGTCAGCGCACCTTCAGGCGAGGGGAGAGGTTAACAAAGCGGGAGCCTTCACTGTGACCTCAGCCAGTGTGAGAATTGAACCTGTGCTGTTAGAGTCACTCCAATTTGTGAGCCAGTTGGGTAACCAGCTACGACAGGCAGGGAGCGTTCTAGTAACTCACAAACCCAGTCCGTCTTCGTCATAGAGATGTACAGCACAGAAACAGACCCTTCAGTCCAACTCATCCATACTGACCAGATATCCTAAATTAATCTAGTCCCATTTGCCAGCATTTGGCCCATATCCTTCTAAACCCTTCCTATTCATGTACCCATCCGGATGCCTTTTAAATGTTGTAATTGTACCAGCCTCCACCACTTCCTCTGGCAGCTCATTCCATACACGCACCACCCTCTGCATGAAGAAATGTTTCCCCTCGGGTCCATAGAACATAGAACAGTATAGCACAGTACAGGCCCTTCAGCCCACGATGTTGTGCTGACATACTACCCTACTCTAAGATTAAACTACCCTGCATACCTACATTTTACTATCTATCATAAAGGTGCCTTTATACATCTTGCCCCTCTCACTTTAAACCTACACCCTCTACTTTCCCCTACTCTCAGAAAAAGACCTGACTATTCACTCTATCCATGCTCCTCATGATTTTTATAAATTTCTATAAAGGTCACCCCTCAGACTCTGACAATCCAGGGAAAATAAACCCAGCCTACTCAGCCTCTCCCTCCAGCTCAAACCCTCCAACCCTGGCAACATCCATGTAAATCTCTTCTGATTGCAGACGGAAATTGGATCAAAGTTTAAAAAAAAGAGAATCAGAGCTGTGGTTTAAGACTTTCCCTCAGAACTTGCACAGGTTCGATGGGCTACCTCCTCAGATTCTACAAAATCCAGAAAAGGAAAGCAGAAGTATTTAGTGATTAGAAACCGAACCAATCCCCACCACCACCAGAACTGTTGTCTCACATCCTCTGATACAGAGGAGGGTCTTATCACCTCACAGTGACACAAAAATCTAAGAGGATAGAATAGGTACTCACAATCAGATCTTGCACTGCCCCTTGTTGCTCCTTTAATGAGTTCTTCGGACGTACATGATAAAATTTCATCTCAACATCTCCACACTTTGCATTCAACCATTAAAGACTTTTCATCTCCTTAAAAATTACAAGAGAACACCAGGTTAGACACTTTGGCACACCGTCTTCAACCTGTTGCTGCAGGGCAACAATCTATTGGCATCACTAACCTGACACCTGGTGCCATCTGTTTGTATCTTCGATCCTGCTCAGTTGCTTAATTGGGTCTCACTCAACTATCATTCAGTTTGTTGAGAAAAGCACAAAGAGAAAGAAATCTGAAAACATTTAACACAAAAATGCTCTAGACTGCACCACGCCAAGGATAGTGAAAAGACACGCTAGATAAAGCGCTTTTGTAATTATTCAAAAGACATGATCCGTTTTCATTCAACTCCTTTTACAGCAGGGAATACAATTAAAACCAGATCCCTTTTCAAAAAATGGTGACAAAGCTTTGAAATAATCCATCAGTCGAGTTAGATTTAAATCTCGGAAAGTCAAAAGTGCTCAGCAAGTTGGTAATGAGCAAGTCCCAGATTTCTCATTTTTCTGAATTAGAAGCTCAAATCTTGATTGAAAATCTGTCAAATCAGAGACAATGAAGGAACTAACGCGAGGGGAACAAGGGGGTGGGGGAGGGAGGATTTTCCAACCCGAAACGGCTGCCATTTTGAAGCTGCTGGAAGCTGAACACGTTCAACCATGGCTGCTCTCCAAGGCTAGTGTGAACATAGTCAGTCAGTCATTTGTCGCTACTTCAGAGTCCACATCTGTGTATCAGGCCACTGGATCTACACCATCCATTAACTCGGTTTCCTTTCAACATCTTGGGGACACAGGAAATGGATAAATCAAGCAGCAGAGGTGGTGTGACCTAGCGGTATTAGCGCTGGACTGTTAATCCAGATACTGTTCTGGAGACCTGGGTTCAAATCCCACCAAGGCAGATGGCGGAATTTGAATTCAAAAGCCTAACGATGACCATGAATCTGTTGCCAACTGTCGGAAAGGCCGATCTGATTCACTAATGTCCCTTTAGGGAAGGAAACTGCCATCCTTACCAGGTCTGGCCGACATGTGACTCCAGACCCACAGCAACATGGTTGACTCTTAACTGCTCTCTGGGCAATTAGGGCTGGGCAATAAATGCTGGGCTTAACCAGCGATGCCCTCATCCCGTGAAAGAATTGAAGAAAAAACCATTTAAAATTATCTAAGTCCCAACAAATTGCTTTAGAGTCACAGAGCTTTTACTGCATGGAGAAAGGCCCTTTGGCCCATCATGTCTATGCACTATTCCAATCCCATTTTCCTGCACAGCCTTGTAGGCAATAGTTTTTCAAGTGCACAGTTTATCTTTAAGAAAACACTCTCACAAAGGAGAGGGCGCTTTCAATGCTAAATGTAATTATTTGGCCACCAAACACCATCCCACCCCTAATCCCAGACTTCTTCCTTTCAACCAGTAATGAAGGGAATCCCTTTAATTTTTAAGGGAAGAGAGAGTCACTTTTTAACTATTCCTGGGGATTTTCTACCAGACGAGAAAGGAAGCATATTGTACGAGTTAGTTCACCAGCTGTTGTTGAACACTGCCTTGCAATTGAAACCAAGTTGTTTGCAAATATACACAGCTCAGTCTCTCGCTCTCTCTGGGTAGAACGACAAACAATTAATGCCCCCTTGTTCAAGTGGAAAACAAATGAAATATCTTGGCACATTTGACAGAAGGAAATGAATCATAGATTTCGTCATCCATATTATAACAGTGCCCACATTGCCCATACATTTCATAGTCTGGAATGTTGTGAAAGATGCAATGTAATATGGATTTAGGTTTTTGGGGAAACAATCCAATCAAAAGGGCTTGGGACATAAAGGACTGCCTCTCAGAGTGGACCCTATAATGTTTATTCTGACGTTTAACAAATAGACTTCTTCCAGCACCTAATTACATTTATTTCTGTGCAAATCTCTAATCTCTCGTGGCTTCACTGGCTAAAACAAGAGAGAGACACCATCCAGTCAATAGCAGGTTGGATCTCAGGCTGGGCAGATGTGATAAACGTATCTTATGAGATCACTTTTTCCACAAAGTAAATCCACCCATTCAGTATGTTCCAACACAAGGGCAGGTCACGCAGACTGGGTGATACCGTGGTGCTGTGGTGATATCAAACGCTCTGGTTTATGCTCTGACGGCATTGTTTCAAATCCCACCACGGCTGCTCATGGAAATTGAGCTCAGTAAAAATCTCAAAAATGTTTTAAAATTCATAGAAGCCCATTGGGTTCACTTGGGCAAAGTCACCATAGTCCCAGAGGGCTTATAGAGCTGCTCTCTCATGAGAGAACAAGCACCAAAGGGAGCAAGCCAGATTGTTGGGTTTAATCCAAAAGTCACGACATCTCAGGCAAGGGTTGAGGTGGACAAGGCAGAACCTTCACGGTAATGTCAGCAGGAGCAGGAATTGAACTGTACTGTTGGCATCACCCTGCATCAGAAACTAGCCATCCAGCCAACTGAACTAACCAAACAAATACATTCACTTAGAGATAGTAGGAACTGCAGATGCTGGAGAATCCGAGACAACAAGGTGCAG